ATACAAGGAACAATATAAGTCGTAGACGACAGCGATGACCTCAAAATATGATTCATATCGGCAATGACAGCAACCCAAGCAGTCAAACAGTCAAGCAGCCATGTAGTCAGTCAGTCAGCGAGTTATGCCATGCCAATCCATTGAAGTTGATTGCTTTGAGTGGTTTTGGTTGTGGTTTATTAAGATACATACTTATAGAGCAAATTGTTCAATCGCTACGTCAATGTGAGGCCCATTAAGGAAAATGGGCTCTACTTTCGCATTGCAGAAATATCCATTAAGTTGTTTATTATTCTGTCAATGCCAATTTAATAATTATATATCTGACTATATGAGAATAATAATAGATAAACAATTTCTTATTCTTTCAAGTGATTTTTACTAGGCAAGTAAAGCCATAATTTTTTGACTGCCTAAAAGACCCAATATTATTCGATATTCCATTTAGGAATACATATTTTTTGTCGAATTTATGAATTGATATTGTTATTTACGTAGATGACAAAGTTGAAAATCTTCAAAGTAACGTCGGGTGCTTACAGGGTTTGTTCTAAAAACCACAAACTAATGAAGCGGTCGACTACGTGCACAGGCTATGAATCCAGGCCTATAGGGAGGGACGTATCGTGTACCATGTGCCTGCCTCAAATGCTGGCGACATTGGACATTGTGGGTTTAACGGTTCAAAGAGCCGAAGAGCTGGTCTCTGGAGCTTACCAAAACCGCCGACGTTGCTGCCGCTGCTGCTGCTGATGCCGCTGTTGCTGCTGCGGTTTGCGGTTCTCTCTGTGCCCTATGCAATTGTTTGTGCTCCCGGGCCGTGACATGAACGGCAAATCTCCACACCATCAACAGCATAAGTCTTATTCAGATACATTTTCCAAAATGGCGACGGCATACCACTGTTATAGATACAAAACAGTTAAGCCGCAGGGGTCCAAAACGTGATGCAGTTGCAATAAAATTTCATCTTGGCTTATGCAGTTGCAGGCGTACCGTTAAGACGATGGGCGTGGTACAGCTGTCGAATGCAACGCCCAAAGCTTTGAATTTCTGCTTACGTTTGAGGGGAAGGGGCCCTAACTATTTTGCCATCTCACTTAGGATTTATACATACAGCTTATGAAACTTTGCACAGATGCTAAAATACGTATCTTTGGCCCGGTCCACAGCATGACATGCGCTTCAATTTAAAGTTACGTCAACTTGTGTTGCCGCTGGCTGCTTGCCTGTCTTTTATTGTGCGTTATAATCCGATTTATGTGATCGGATTATGTCCTGCGTAGCGCCTAATCCCTCCATAGTTGGGCGTCCGGTGACATGTGTAGCCTATGCTGAGCGGAGCATATCGTACGATATAGGCGGGCCACCCTCTTCACAGTTCAACTGATCCGTTCGCGTAGTCAATTTCAATTATACTCGCTCTATAGCTGGATTAAGGTCCCAGCCACGCCCCATTGCCAGTTGAGGCGGAAAAGTAATTAAAATGTGTATCTGTTGAGTACGAACACACACACACACACAAACTACAGACAGCTCAGGGCTTGACAGGTGCAGGGCACAAGTGGTGCCTGAAAGTGAAAAGAGACTTTTCCAAAAGATCTCTTCGTTAAGATTGCCGCGCAATAAAGTTAATTAGAAACTTTTGGGTAGCGCTCAAGCGCCTGCCAGCTCATTCCCCGCCCCCTCTCTCATCGGTCATCGCCATTTGCTTTGCTTGCATATTCTAGTGAAATTAGAGTTAATTGCACCTCATTAAAAGCAAATTCTTGGAATTAATTTTACGTTTCGTCGAAAAAAAAAGAAAACGAAGCAACGCAAAGCCAATAAACAAAATGGCCGCTCTCCACCGAAACTCAGCAGTTGCCCCATTCATTATAGTGTCAGATTCAACAAATAATTACAGCCCGCACCACACACACACACACGCACACATACACGTAACAGCTGAAAATATCATTTAAGGTAATCGTTGAACTAGCCCAAGGATGACCTAGGTAAATGCAATATGCTGAAGTCCTACACGATATTTGAGATAATAATACGCTTCACTTTAAAACAATTTTTCTTACATAAACATTAATATTTTAATTCAAGCTCAATCAAAATCAATAGATAATGGATCGGAATGTTTTTGTATTATAAACAAAGAAAGTCAATTATAATCCATATAGATATTTCTTACTTTTACAACGTCAACTTCAAGTTGATCTATCATTTATTAAATTCCAGTATTCCATTCCAAAGTGGCCACTTATTATTATTATTATTATCGTTTGTCTCTTTCGGCTTTCATTCCGCTCAAGCTCCAACGATCTTAGACAGCTGCCAGTTTACATGTCATTAACGACTGTCTATTAAAAATTCCGCATGAACAAGTGACAGTGGTAGAATTAAAGTGTATTCGGATAGGAATAAACATGCTTAGGTTTCTTCTGAAGCTGTCGATAGGTACTGTGCGCGCCATTTTGCATTTGCCGGCCATTTTGAAATACTTTGAACTATTACAATTCCTTAGAATTGTTGCGAGCACATATTTTGACACTTATCATTTTAAGTGAGTGAGATAGCAAATATGAGAGGAAAGACGCACATTAAATATTGCTGACCATACGACGGGGCCAAGGCAGACGACCGAGGCCATTTACAGCACCCTTAGATGCACACACACATATATATTTAAAAATATATATGTACATATATACATATATGCATACATATATATTGTACATGTATGCAGTAGTGTGTCGACAGTTGCATGATTGACGGTTGGACTGAATGAGTGCACGTCATTTACAGCCGCCACGAGTAGCCTCATGTGCAAGTGTGAGCTACGATGGCTCATCTCCCACTCCAATAGCACTCAAAGTGTCTGCACCACTCGGAACTAGTATTTGTGAATCTGAATATTTAGAGGAGCTCACGTTCATGGCGCTCAAGCGCGACGAGACCGCAGCAAACACAGTAAACAGCAAACACAACACAAACACACACATGCCTTGAAAGAGGCGAGTCATTCTCAGTCCGCTGCAGCTGATCTTGATGGAGAGCACTCTGCGGTACGAAAAGTGTGAGAGAGTAAATGAGTGTGTATTCATGTGTGTGTGTATGGCAGTGTGAGCAGTTGTTGTTGCCTTCTCCGCTTTGTAGTTACATATTTGCTTTGCCTTTCACACCGAACCAGCAAAACCAGAAACCGAACAACAAACAGCACGAGACTTGAACACGAAAGTGAAACACAATTTTAGCAACGTCTGTGTGCTTTTGCATACATATGCAAGTGTGTCTCACTCTGTGTGTTTGTGCGTATGGGTGCCTTAGCATTTGTTTGTTGTTATAGCATGGGAAAAGATAACGAACAAAATTGCACGAGACAATGGATATCCGTATTGTTTACGATTAGTTGCGTTACGTATGTATATATGTATGTATTTGTTTCAGTGATAAGTTGTGTCAATCGTCATTCTCATGATTCAATAGATTTAAGAGCGCAGCAAGATAACAACTGTTTCTTATCATAACGCAACACGTGTAGCCCTCCTCAAGTTATTAACCTCATACACATAGAGATAAATTAAAAGTGAGACCAACTCAACAACTTACCCGCTTCTCGGCACTATCGCATGGATTACCAACCGATGAGGATGAGGAAGAGGATGTGGATGTTGTGGCCGCAGTGCTGGGCAAATGATTTGTCGGCAGCACATCCGATGCCACTGAATCCAATTGCTCCTGTTTGATGCCGGCAATCAGCGGCAGAAAGTCGTTCTTAAGATTTTCCAATTCCAAATCCATTGTATATTTGTTTATATGTTTTATTTCTTTTATTCAGAGTATGTCAATCTATGCGAATGCTGTATCGTGTACGTGGGTATGCGGATTCGGTTTTGGGTTGTTATCGTGGGCGTAGGCTAATTTTAGCGCGAGAATTTTGTATTCACCAGCAGTTGGCGCCCTTGGTGAACATTTTTAGTTATATTAGGATCTCTATTCCATTTCATTGTTCATTCATTCCCGACAGGCGCAATCAAAGTGGCAGCGGTACAAAAACAACGCCAAATTGGCTGTCTGCACACACGTACACAGACACAACAACACATCCACGAGTTCGCACACACACAAACAAGTCACCTTGTGGACAAAAAATAGTTTCGCTTTCGTATGACACTTAAACGTTTTATGTTTTACACGGTGTACTTTTGATAAATATTATCATTTTACGATACTTTTATTTGTTTATTAATGTACTAACAATTTAAGGTATTATCAATTTCAAACGGTTTGCAAATTTTTTCTCTCTACTCTTTTTGCACGAATTCCCACAGAGACGAAAACTTTCATTGAAATGTTCACATTACGCTTTATTTTCCTTTTGCGACTATATTGCACAGCACTGCGTTGTTTTATTTGCGTTTGACGCTTGGCTAGCGCAATTGTTTATTTGATATTCAAAGTAATATTTGTATTTATTTTATTGGCAATTAATTGCTAGGAAAACACACGGTCACGGCGTTTACTCTCCTTGGACGCTTCTTCTGTACAAAAATTTTCTACTCGCCATTTTGGATTGAGCAGCGTTGCCAGAGTTTTGCCAGTTGCGAGTGGCCATACACGTTCAGTCCGCAAAATGTGCATAAATTAATTCATTTATGAAAAATTTAATATTTAAAGACTGTTTATAGGCTGAACTAATTTTTAATAATGTTTTAATTTATATATTTTGTAATTGATATGTTTAACAGCTTGTTAATTTGAGTTTTATTACTCGGGCTAGTGGTTTTATAACAAAGCTAGGGTTGTAGCAGTTGATACTATCATGCAGCAGCTGTGTTTTATTACCAAGAACGGCACACGTGTGAGGTTGTGTTTGTTGGTATTTTAATTTTTCAAATTGAATAAATGTTCAACCACATATTGAGCAGCTACTCTAAGGCAGGTGAATTTTGTGTTGCAATTTTATAAAACACAGTTACAAAAATCTGTTTTTTTTTGTCGTGCAGTTAGCCTAAGAAGATTGTTGCAAGTTGAAGTAAGCCGGCACAATTTTTATTCGCGTAAAAAATCCTTCGCGACTGCTATGGCTGAAGCACTCGACAAGCTGGAACAGGAACGGGAGGCAAAAAGAATCGCCAAAGAAGCTGAGGATAAAGCTGTGAAGGAAGCAAATCGTTTGAAACGCACTCTTAAGCGTAAGAAGTGGGTGGACTGGAAGGCGCAAGATGAGGAGGATGCTGCAAACGGAAAGAAACGCGCTCCATTTGATCCTGCAGATCGCATTAAGCGAAAGAAGTGCGCTATACTTTTAAGCTACTGCGGTGCAAATTACTATGGCATGCAACGCAATCCGGGTATGCAGACTATTGAGGAGGAGCTTTTCAAAGCTATGCTTAAACACAAATGGATAACAGAAGACTCCTTTGAACAGGTGCAAATAGCTTGCTTTCAGCGGGCCGCACGTACCGATAAGGGTGTCTCGGCCGCTCGACAGGTGTGCTCCGTTAAGTTGCGTAAGTAACTCAACTATTCTGATTGGGCCTATTATAATGGCAATTTTCTTGCAGCCGAAGAACTGGACCTAGACGCATTCAATAAAGATTTACCAGAACAGATTCGTCTCTTTGGTGTGGAGCGCGTTACAAAAGGTTTTAATGCTAAGGATCAGTGTAACGCACGCACCTACACATATACACTGCCAACCATAGCATTTGCTGCTTTCGATGATCAGCTTGATCAGGAAACGTATCGCATACCGATTGAGCGCCAGGAGAAAGTTAGCGCGACACTAAAACTCTATGAGGGCACGAAAAACTTTCACAACTTTACCAGTAAAAAGTAAAGACAAACTTTATAGATATTGTACATAATATTAACATAATTTATACGTAGGAACTTTTTAGATCCGTCGGCAAAGCGTTTCATAATGTCCTTTACATGCAGTGCACCATTCCTAAGTCCGCAATCCATTGAGTTTGTTACGTTGAAAGTAAAGGGACAAAGCTTTATGCTGCACCAAATCCGAAAAATGGTCGGCCTAGCCATTGCTATAGTTCGTGGCAATACCACAACTGCAACGCTGGAGCGTGCGCTAACCGAGGAGCGCCTGGACTTGCCCATGGCGCCAGGCTTAGGCCTCGTATTGGATACCGTTCATTATGAACGCTACAATGATCGCTATGGTAATGATGGCATCCACAAGCCCTTGACTTGGGCAGAGCAAGAGGAGCAAGTTACCCAATTCATAGAGAAGTATATTTACTCAAATATATACAAAACGGAGGCCGAGCAACGCAACATGCTCGATTGGCTAAGTACCTTGCATTTCCACTCGTATGATACCAGGCGCGATGAGCCAGCGAAAAATAATAGCGAGGACGATGATGGAGAAGAATAACCAATCTATTTATTTATAAGATGACAATGCAAGACCAGTTGATAGTGTATATGTAATTGATACAAATTAAAAGCATGTTGTTGATTACGACTTAGAACCGTCCACCCTTCTTCTTCTTGTGACCGCCTTTGCGGTGTTGCTGCCTTGGACCGGGCGTGGGCTCTTGGTAAACGGGCGTTGCAGGCGAGTTCTTGTTTAGGTTGGCACGATTGGACATGTCGCTGAAAATTGAAAAAGGTATTTATACGAATCTTATGAGCATTAAGTATTAAACTTACTATTGATCAGCTGCGCCAGACGCCATGCCCTGTGAGCCTTTGATAATATCCTTGGCACGGGCACCGCCACGCTTCTTACGGAATCCAGTGCGCTCATACTTGGGCAACCAGCGCTCAGGATCAGGTGCGACTTCGGCATTGTAGTTCTTGGGCAGTTTACCTTTGCGTTTGCGATTGCCACTCTTCTTCTTATCTGTTGCGGGTGTGCTGGGCGAGGGTTCAACTTTTGCATTGGCCGTCTTCTTAGCTGCCTTCGCAGACATCACCCAATTGGCCGCCTCAAGCGCATCAATTTCGGAAGCCGTGGTCAATGTCTCCAGTTTAGGCAACTTGCGGCTTATCTCGAGTGCACGCTTAGGATTAAATTGAGCATAGGCAATAACTAGCTGAGCCAGCACTTTCATATCATTCGGTTTTAGCTTGAGCAGTTCCTCCAAGGAACTGGCCGCCGTCTCTGAGGCGCCACCACGTAAATGGAACTCTGCCGCCTGCCGCCACATGTCCGACAAATCGCCGCTGCTCACATTATTCTGCTTATACCATTCGACGGCTGATTTAAGCAGCGCCGATGCCGCTGGCTTATTGTCGGTGCCCAAATAAAGAGACACCAGCGCCGAGACAATGCCAGGCTTGTACTTGGCCTCACCCAACGAGAGTAGAGTTTCGATAGCATCCTTACGATTACCCTGCCAAATAAAGAATTAATAATAAATAAGTTTTGATTAAATTTTGCGAATCTGTCGTAAACGTCTCTTACCTGAAGCAATTGCAACTGTATGATGGCAAATTTGCTTATAAATTCATGCGTCTTGTGTGCACTAGCAAACTTGTTCAGTTGCTCGATAGCCTCCTTGTGCTTCCTATCCTTGGCCAGTTGACTGCAGCGTATCAGCAGAGCTTCGAACTCCACTTGCGGATAGCTCTGAGTCAATTTCTGTGTCAACTGCTGCACTTGGTCGCTGGAATTGGTATACAGAGCCAGGAGGCAATTGTTCAGAGCTATTGTTTGCTTTTGGCGTGAGGTCAATTTTGGTTCACAGGCATCTGCCATGGCAGCGCGTATTTTCTTTTTAGAGTCAAAGACATTCTGATCCTTGTTAATAACCACTGTATTGTTGCTGGCAACGGCTACCAAAGCAGCATCCTTCGGTTTGTGGCGTAGACATTCTGCATAAATAACGCTAGCTTCCTTGATTTTGCCCTGCTGTTGCAGACAGTAGGCGAGTTGAACACGTATGACGTCCAGCTCTTCGAGTATCTCCTCCTCACTGGCACCCTCCTCTTCCAGAAACTCGCGACACAATTTCTCGCTGGTTCGCAGTTTGCGCTCGGCTTCAACGAATTTCTGGCGATTGGCCTGAATGCAAGCGCTGTTGAAGTACTGCTCGTAGGTGTCCTCGGGTACTTCTGGAACGTCTTTGTCCTTGTCCAATGCCAAATTGGCAGCCACTGCACTGAGGTTAGTGCGTCGTTCATCCTCGTAATCATCACTACTGTTCTTGATGATCTCTTTGTACGCATCTAGACAATCTTCGTAGCGTTCCAAACGATACAGTATTTGTGTGCGCAATTCCTTCAACTTCGCAGGCAGAGGCTGCACTGCAGCATCGTCGATGGTTTTCAGTGCCTGTAGCTGCTTATTTAAGCGATACTCACAGTACGCCTTCTCAAAAATCAACACAGAGGCCAGACGATTTTTCTCAATGAACTTAAGGGCCTCATCGAATTTAGACAACTGCATCAGGCATACAACTTTACAGTGCAGCGCAGTTTGATCATCAGGTGCTACACCCAGTACTGATATAAAATTGTAATCGAATGATTAAAATTAGATAAAACTTTGGCACATGTCTTGATACTCACTGCGATTAACAGCTTTAACCGCCTTATCAAACTCCTGATTGTTTCCAAACTTGTGAACGTCGGCATAGGCCGCTTTTATAAGCGCCTCCTTGGCAGTTGTGTCTTTCGACATTATAATAACAATCAACTAAGAAAAACTTATTTGACACTGGACTTTCGCTCTGCTAGAAACTTTGACAGGTTGGACACATCAGCAACAATAATTTTGAGTGTTGCCACAGCAAGACTGTCAAACGTGTTGAGTTACCAGACTTATCTAAAACTATAACCGATAAACAGTCCCTACCGACTTTTTATCGATAGCGATAAATTAATTATCAACAAAACGTACTCGCTGGCGACGCCTTTGCGAGGTCTATAGTGTGCGTGTTTTTTGTGTAAATTGTTGCAAAATGTCGGCTGAAGTTGATTTTGTAAATAAAAAAGAAGTGCATCTCCGTACTCTGAAGCAGTCCGGACACGTAGGATTTGACAGTTTGCCTGATCAACTGGTTAATAAAAGCGTACAAAATGGATTCGTTTTTAACGTCATGTGTATAGGTGTGTATTTACAGATGTGGGTGTGTGTGTGTATGCGGCATTGCCCAAGTGTGTATATATGTATGTATGTGCAGTGAATCAACTAAGAGAATTGTAATGAGTGCATTGCACACAGATTCTAAGCCACACAAGCAATACATGACTCACTAGCATACATATACACATACATAATTTCTCAACCGTATGCATGCACGTACGTAAATACATATGTATGTAAACAATTGAAAGCGGCGCGAGCAGGCCGATTGATATGCAAAGTGTTTATCAATCGATTTTCATCAATTTGCTTTCTACAATTTCACCCTGATATCAGTGCTGAGAGAATTTGAAGGGCGCAAAATGCTAGATTGACAAGAAATGAAAGAAAATTCTAGAATGTCCCTATATTTAAATATGTATGCATGTAAACTATTTTTTTTATTTTTTTTTATTATAAATTAAATTAATTCAGCTATTTTAAAATACAAAAAATATTTTTATTCATTTTCAAATTATTATAGAATAAAAGAGAATTAAATAAAAAATTGTCTGGAACTATAGCACAAATTTATAATTTGAGATATGCAACTTTGATTTTATAGATTTATACATAGCTAAATTATTTTTCACAACGTCATACATTTATAATAGTAAAAAAAAGCTACACATAGCTACAAAAAAGCTAGAGTGGTAGCACCGCTTGACACAAATATGTGTCTAGTGCCCAATTGAAGCCACTTATAGTAACTTTTTGAACAATATGAGTAACATGTGTCTCTTTTCCCATTAGGCGAGACGGGTCTGGGTAAATCAACATTGATGGACACACTGTTCAACACTAGTTTCGAATCGACACCGAGTCCCCATACGCTGCCTAGCGTTAAATTGAAGGCCCACACTTACGAGCTGCAGGAGAGCAATGTGCGGCTAAAGCTGACCATTTGCGATACGGTTGGATATGGCGACCAAATCAATAAGGACGATTCATTTAAGGCTGTCGTCGACTACATTGATGCTCAGTTTGAGAATTATTTGCAGGAGGAACTGAAAATTAAGCGCTCCCTTGTTACGTGCCATGACAGTCGCATACATATTTGTCTGTATTTCATATGTCCGACGGGACACGGTCTGAAGTCCTTGGATCTGGTCTGCATGAAGAAGCTAGACAGCAAGGTGAACATAATACCGGTGATTGCCAAAGCTGACACCATTTCCAAGGTCGAGCTGCAGCGCTTCAAGGCAAAAATTATACAGGAACTCAACAGCAATGGCGTCCATATCTACCAGTTTCCCACTGACGATGAGACTGTGGCGGAAACAAATAGCGTCATGAATTCGCACATTCCGTTCGCCGTCGTTGGTAGCACCGAGTTCATAAAGGTGGGAAACAAGCTAATTCGTGCTCGTCAATATCCCTGGGGTACGGTGCAGGTGGAAAACGAGACACATTGCGATTTTGTCAAGCTGCGAGAGATGCTTATACGCACAAACATGGAAGATATGCGCGAAAAGACCCACACGCGACATTATGAGCTGTACCGACAAAAGCGTTTGGAACAGATGGGCTTTAGTGATGTTGATAGCGAAAACAAGCCTGTTTCCTTTCAGCAAACTTTCGAAGCAAAACGCTCCAATCATCTGGCTGAGCTGCAGTCCAAGGAGGAGGAGGTGCGCCAGATGTTTGTGCAGCGTGTCAAGGAGAAGGAGGCCGAGCTGAAGGACAGTGAGAAGGACTTGCATTTGAAGTTTGAAAAATTGAAGCGGGATCATGCGGAAGAGAAACGAAAACTTGAAGAGTCTCGTAAAGCTCTCGAGGAGGACTATTTGGACTTTCAGAGACGCAAGCAGCAATTGGCCACAGCACACCACACACTGACACTGGGCAAAAGCAAGAAGAAGTAAATGGACAGCATTAGCATTAGCTATAAGCAAATGTCTTCGAGTATTTTGTGTTTTGCGTATCCCAAAGTAATTATTGCTTTTTCATCTCGTTGTATTTCATTTATGCTATTAAGTTTTCTTCAAATATTAACATATACACGCACCAACATACATACATATATATGCATACATACATATAAGTATGAATATTTACAATTAACGAATAAACGATATTAGTATTTTAAACTATGTAAATGAATACCGTTTTTTCTGGGCTGTTTACCATAAATTCAACTCAAGTGAACGAACTAATGTATCGAACGACTTGTGAACTAGCTGAGCAGTTCCGTTTGTTCATTTAGTTCGGTGTATCGCTCGGGTTTGTACCGAACGATTGGGCAGCACTAACTTGAAGTTCTATAAAATAAACGAAAACGCAATAATTATTATTGCGAATAATTGATGTACCGATGATTTAGTTATAGTTCTAACTACAAAGCAATTAAAAGTGTTCAACCTATTGTATACATTAAAGAAGTGACTGAAGAATAAGCGT